TTACAGTATATGGGAGGTATCAAACCATCCTAAAAGACTAACTCAAATGAATAATAAGGTAATAGTGTAATCATTTATTAATATGATCGATGACATTTGCTGAGTTTTAGCAACTTAGAGTTAAGATAGCTGGTTATGGTGCAGATTGGTTACATTTGACCAAATTCCAGAACTTCCTACCAACAGGAATCTCCTAGGATTCCTCCCATTCATGTCTGCCTTAATAAATTAACTCCCAGTGCCTCAAAGGAACTATTTTTAAGATGAGCAAATGGTTTCACTTCTAAATGGAACTCAACTCTCAACTACATGAAGTTTGTAGGAGATTGCGGTCCTCTTGCTACCTGTTCTTCCCTAATTTAAATACAAAACAGGTGAATGATTTAGGAAGTCAAGTGGTGTTTAAGAATCTGGATCAGCTCTTCATCAGGTTGCTCCTATTAAATGCTCAGCTGTGCCAGTGTGTACTAATGTAAGAGGCTTGGGCTGTATCAACCAAATAAATTCATAATGAGAATAAAAATAAACAATCTGCTCTGCGATAGACTGGCATCCCATCCAGGGTGTACCCTGCCTTGCACCCATGGTTTATCAGGTTAGACGAACAGTTAGAAAATGAATGGACTATTCTGGTAAACGCTTGCTAGTAGACTGTAGGAAAGTGAGAGCAAGCCTGCAATGTTTTTTTCTGTGTTTGCAACATCTGCCTGCACATGAAATGTGTTTTGAGCCTGTGTATGTTACGCTCCGGATTGAGGGGGTTGTGTAACCAACATGCATGCCAAGAACTCGCTGTACACAAATGGCTACATACAGTATGTAAGCAAAACCCGAAATGGCACAAGAGGAATTGAAGTGCTGATCAGCCACCAGCTTTGCTTGTGTAAATATGAGACAGTATTAAATCTAATGAGGGCTGGGAGAATTAGTGCTATGAGCCAGTGATTCTGTTGCTACTTTATTACATAATCCTGGGAGGATTATAGAGAATACCTCATTTAGCTTTTCCAGCCCTTGATGTGGGGGGAGGGAGGGAGAGATGTTGAGAGATGGAAAGATTAAATAAAAGACACAGAAAAAGACTATTTCCATTTTGATTGGGAGAATTGTAAAATGGGATAGAGACACAGGGGGTTTGGTGTTTTTATCTGTGCTAACTCTATTCATCTTGACACCTTTGGGAGAGTTTGGGGCAACAGTAAAACTGTCCATCCACCAATCTTCTAACCACTTCAGGGTTGAGTGGGAACCAGAACCTATCCTGTCAAGCAACAGGCGCAAGGCAGGGTACACCCTGGATGGGACGTCAGCAGATGCACACACTCACACCAGGGCCAATTTTCCCAGAAGCCAATTAACCCGCCAGCATGTGTTTGGACTCTGGAAGGAAACCCATGCGAAAACAGGGAGAACACACAAAACTCCATACAGGTATCAGCCCAGGTCCAAAATTGAGCCCATGAGCCCAGCGCTGCGAGCCTGCATTTCTAGTCACTGTGCCACCCATGAGAAGAAAAGTTGCATTTCATTTAATTTACACATAGAGAATGGGATCCACTTCAACTGCTACTGAAGAGCAGCACCCACTTATTGTGCAACAGCCATTATTCACAAGCAGGTTCAGTTACTTGACCATTTGAATTAAGAGGCAACTTTTGTGGGGCCAGACTGAACAATTTAGCCATGATACTGAATTTAATACCCCTACGCTTACAAACAGCGCACTGGGATCTGTAATGACCAAGCAGTCAAGACCCTGATTTAGTCTCTCGTCTGATGAATGTAACTCCTACAGCACACTGTCCCAGGTCGCCATACTGTTGCGTTGCTTTAGAAATCCCAGATCAGAAAGAAGACCACTGCCTACTATACCATTAACATCAACCAAGTCAGTACTGACAAGGCCATGATTTGTTTAGCTTTTAGACATCTGTCAAGTCCCAAGGATGACTTTTGTTTCATCTCTGAGTTGCGAAATAGTAGATCAAATCTATATGATCCAGGTGAAAATGTCTTAAATACATTTTTCGGACCAATGATGGAACACCTCATTCCGCTGTCACTTTAGAGAGACAGGTGGGTAGCTAATTCAGCATGCGTAGGCTGCAAAAGACAAGTAATAGGTTTATTCCATGCTGAAAAAAAAGAAGAAAGAAAACACAACACTTCGGCCGTGGAGCCTTCTTCATGAAGTGTAAATGTCACACCTGAAGAAGGCTCCACGGCCGAAACGTTGCGTTTTCTTTCTTCTTTTTTTCAGCATGGAATAAACCTATTACTTGTTACTTTTGAGAGACAATTGGCACAGCATAGAGCAGATTATCAAGTCGTGATGTGGAGACAAGGATTGTAAGAAAGAGAAGAAATCAGAGAAAACCATTAACCCATGAAGCTCACTTGGTTACTGGAAGTTAAACAAAAGCTGAATTCTCAGATCAATTGATAAAATCACCTTCAACAACTTGTTCCAACATCTGGAAGAAAGCATCTGTTCTCAGTTGCAGTGCTCCTTAAATTTTATGCCTTGCTTCACAATTGATCTCGATATGGCCCGTTGGATTCTGACAGGTTCATTGGATAACTTAGAAAATACGTTGCAAAAATATCCTTCACAACGGAACTTTGCACTGATAAGAAACACTGTTTACTGAAAAATGAGAAGTTCTGCAAGATTTATTCTCATATGTTCTCAGATCTGCTTATCTGTGATATGTAAATTGAATACATTACAATCACACAGGTGATTTTATTATTGCTATAATACTGGAAATTAATCTTGCTGTCTCCAGTTTCTATACCAATTTACATTTGTGTATATTTTATAAAGATGGGCATTTTACTGGAACAATCTGAATGAATGCACTATTTGAAGGATACAGCAGATGGATCCCAGGTAGGAAATAAACCCTCAAACCTTCCACTTACAATATTAACATATGTTAAATATTAAAAATACTATATTCACTCTCATATTAGACTATAACTAGTTCTGTTAATTACCAAAGGACAATATTATACTGCTACAGTTGTGATAGAATATCCATTATCATTGTATGTACACATGTGATTTTATGTAGAAACATGGTAGCAAGGGAATCTGAAGTCAAATTAAATCCCTTTTGCTTTTCTATGGGATCATAGATCACATATTTTCAACTAATCAATTAAGGGTGCTTACTCCTCATCAGGTGTATCTGATTGATACCTTAATGTACATTGTCTGCATGTACAGTATACCAGCTCATGGGTGCAAGCACAGTAGCAGAAAGCACTGATGACCTGTATCTAAAATTCCTAAATTCAACAAAGACGTGTTACATAAAATGGTCATACACTTACTGTCACGGCTGCTACAATACACCCATGCATAACACTCAAGGATCAGTTTAGTGTTTTTTTTCTCTTATCCACTGATGACATGAAAACAATGGGGATATTTCTGGCAAGAACCACCTTGTTTGATCTTTTTTAAGTCCAACTCGGGGAAACAATTTTGAACTGACTTGTTTATCCACCAGTACAGCGTTCACTCTTAAATATCCAATTTAAATATCTGCTGTCGGCTCCGGTTTGCCAATACTCTTACAGTAGGAGCATGTATGCTGGTGATCTTTTTTGATGTGATTCCTGGAGAAATCTTTAGAAGCAATATGCTATTCAGAATAATTCAGTAATATATTGTTTCTTAAGTCAAAATCACACATTACTTGGAAATAAAATGCAGAATGTAATATTAAATTAATGATGGCATTCTAGATAAATGAACTGTTAAATGTGTTGCACTAATAATACATTATTGTAAGGAGCTATGAATAATAAGCATATACTGGGATATACAGTACTGGAGAATTGTGAAAGGGGATAAAGATTTGACTATAGAGCTGAAACCAATGAAATCAACTGTGATCCATGAGCTGGGTACAGCTGGCTGAATACGTTAGACAGATTAATTCTATGGAATGTGTAGTGCTGGCTCCAATGAGCACAAAATTCCTGCATGTGCTGCTCACTGCACAATCCTGTTTTCCAGGAAGCATAGAACACGTCTAAATCTCATACTGTATGTGTGTTGCGGTTTCCCAATGCTGAGGCGTCAGTTATGAATCTGAGCTCATCGGAATCATTTTAAACCACCGCAGCCAATGATGATGCAATATTCCTACTTGAGCTAACATTGAAAACCAAGACTTTTGAGAGTATTTGCCCTGGCGTGAGTGCATGTCTGTCTATGCCTGTGTGTGTCTGGCGATAGATTAGTGTCCTGTACAGGGTGTATCCTGCGCCTGTTGCTTGCTGGGATAGGCTCCAACTGCCCCATGACCCTGAATTGAATAAAGCTGAAAATGTATGGATGGATGAGAGCCCAGAACTGTAAGAGTCCTCTGACTAAAAATGTCTATGGTTTCTGCAGTTTGGGGGGTAACTGACCACACACAGAATAAATTCCACATTTGACATTCGCATGGTCTTCATTGGAATCTGAGAGACGGCGTTCCAGTCCCTTTCTCTGACTGAGTTCACATCTCACTGTTTCAGAGCAGGTGAGCGGGGCAGTTTCCATACACTGAACACTATCGGAGAGAGGCAGGGGGGAGGAGGGAGACAGACTGTAATCGCTCTGTATTTTTTTTCAAGCGCTGTTTGTCCGTCACTTGTCTGAATCCATTTAACCTGAGCATTCCTGATGCGGCCTGTCCACTTGCCTGTCATTGTTCTTTCTTGCTGGTAACCAGTGCATGGTGGTGGCAGAGTCTGTCTTTCTTCTTTCACTCGGTGTCCTGATGCTGATGTTGGGGCAGTGGAGCGAGGGGGGGGGGGTGTGCGCAAGGAGAGAAAGAGAGCTGGAAAAGAGTGGATGAAATGGCGGGGAAGGAGCAACAAGGAGGGATTGGGAGTGATGGAGAGAGGGAGAGAGAGAGGAAGGGGAGGGTTTAGGGAAAGAGAGAGAGTAAAGCATGCTGCAAGTGAAGCTGTAATGTACTGTGAGCAGCTGAGAGAGACACAGCCGCTTGATCCTGGCGCTTGCTGCAAAGGGGATGAGGAGCTGTACTTTGACTGTGGAGCCATGCACAGCTCAGCTCAGCTCAGTGAGCCTGAAACGAAAGGCAACTAAATCAAGCCAAGTAGGTGCCCGAGCTGCATGCTTCGAGCCTCCCTCTCCTTTTCCTGAAGGACAACTGGATGCTTCAGTCTCGGAGTTGCACATATCTTGAAGCTTTTCTGACTCTGAGGGGACCCAGTTCCACTACTGCCTCAGAATGTCACCTTCTGCCTGAGCTCCCTGGAATTTACAAAGACAGCATGACAGGGGAATCGATCTTATTACCCTTTTATTTTTGCCTCCGTCCTCGGATTCAAATTCACAGAATGAATTTGCCTTTGGAGGAGAAAATCCAAACCGCATTGGCTGCTTGCTTTTCTTTTTGTCCCGGGGAGTAAAGAACAGTTTTATTTTAAAACCCTGTGGAAAACTTTAGTGTGTGGGGTTAGGCAGATTCCTATGCCAAGGGCTCGGATGTAGGGATTCATGCGTCTTTGGTGTTTTTTTTCTTTTGTTTGATTTGGGTTTTTTTGTGGGTGATGTGACTTTTCAGATCTCCTTCCCCATCTGCCAGAAAGGTCCAGCTGCCCTCTTGTCTGACCCCTCTCCCCTCCTCCTTCCCTCCCCAACGCCCACCAGGAAAGGCCTTTGGGAGCTCTTGTCTCCCCCCCCCCATCACCCTCCAAAAATGGCGGCGCTCGCCAGTTCCCTCATTCGGCAGAAACGAGAAGTCAAAGAGGCCCAGACCAATCGGCCCATCTCCACCAAGAGAAAAGCTTGCACGCGAAGCAACAAGTCGCTGTGCCAGAAACAGATCCTCATCCTCATCTCCAAGGTGCGTTTGTGTGGAGGTCGGCGGGGGCGACTCGAGAAAAGACCAGGTAAGTCCAAAGTCTTGATGCAAAAGTAACATGGTTTTGTGGACGATAGAAAAACCACAAAGGGCTTTAAGAAGTTCATTTTTTTTGCTTAAACCTCATTTCTTTTTTGTTTTTAGAAGCTATTATATATGTTAATTGTAGCTTTGTTTCCTGTCTTTATTGAATTATGATTGTTATAGATAAAGTTTTGAAAATCGAATAAAATGTTTGTTTTTTTCAAAATCACATGTGCCCTGGCACAGGCCACTAGGTGGAGCTCTCCCAATGGGGCTGTTTCTGTTTGCTTTGGAGAATGATTACGTTCCTTATAGCTCTCTATATGCTGTTGCTTAGTTAGAACGTTTTAATTGCCTCTTACCTGAGTCTTAAAAGTCATTCAGCTAAGATGCTCACTGTCTACATCACCGATTGTGTGTTTTTGGTACCAATAACTGAGAGGAACTTCAGCATTTTAATTGGTGCTTAAAAAAGAAGCAAGATGTTGATGCTATTTTAAAACAATACGGCATCTAAATAAGATGCTAAATCAGTGTTCTGTCTTGGATTTATGAGAAGATTTGATTTTCGTTCAAATCAGAAAAAATCTGTGTCAAGACAAAAAGTGATACATTTTTGGATTGGCCACTGAATTTGGAGTTTTTTTTGGCTCCGACAGTATTAAACTATGACAGAGGTTGTAAGAAACAACAAAGAGCATGACATACAGTAAGAGTAGTCAGTTCATGCAGAACGTGGGTAAGAACTTTTCTATCTGGAATGTTGCTTGCAGATAATTGGGCACCTTTTAAAACCATTTTACCAATAAATTAGTTTTGATCATTTCTTGCAGTTGTACCACACTTCACGTCCTGGTATCCAGGTCTCAAAGCATTTGGTACGTTGGACAGAATCTACTTTAGCCTCTGAAACTACTTCACCAATTCGGATGAAGGTGGGAATGTAGGAAGGCCAACGGTGAAATAGTGTAATTTAGTGATCTTGATATAGCATCCCCTCAGGAGGATAATACCTCCTACTGCACAGTGACCTCTGCCACAACAGTGGGGCATTAGTATGTACACTCTGGACTAGAGGAAAGAGCGCTACCTACTGTTCCACTGACACCACTGGTAGAAGAAACCAGGTTTTCCTTAGAGGTCTCTCATCCCAGGTGTACAGGTCAGACCACATACTAGTAATGTTCCTGGTAAAACAGTAGGTGATGGTTCTTCCTGTTTAAAACTTCCTGTTTCTTCCTTTATTTTGCGCTCATTGAATTAAAAGTTTTGCATGTCACAAGTTGAGACCTGCTGTAGATGTTATGTAGATTACATACAGTATATTACTGTGCAGATGATAGTGATATTAAAACAGAATACAGGATTATGTTTCAGCAAATGTCTGCTTGTTTCTCCTGTTATTCAGTCATTCTTGTTGATTAAGTACAGGAAGTGTATGTGAACGTCAAAGGGTGTTTCATGTGATTTGGAAGAAGGATTTGAGGAGACTTTGAAGAACGGATATTATATACTGTAGTTTTGCACAGACTGAAAAGGAGAGATCTACTGTATATAAATATCTGCAGTGAGCTTATACAGGTTGAGCTGCACTAAGAATGTTTTTCTTTGTGGATTTTGTATTCCTGAAACATCAGATAATTCCTTTTACCTTCACAGCTCAATTTCTATGAGACTGCAACAGAATCCAAACCGAAAGCTAAGAGTTATTTCTGTAGTTAATGCTACATTTTTGTAGAGCAATTGAAATGTACATATACAAATACATTGCAGTTTTTACTGACTTCCACCCGTAGAAGTCTGAGCATTCCAGTTTTAATATTTACTTTAAAAATGTGTAAGCATCATCTGGTATTCAACCAAATGGAATATCCTTGGAAGGGGGTGAATGCATTTGCAAAGCACTGTAAATACTGTATACTTGCAAGCTCAGTACTCAGCACTGCTGCCTAACAGAGCTGGGGCCCTGGACCTGAGGTGCTGTCTGCATGTAGTTTGCGTGTTCTGTCTGTGTTCACGTGGGTTTCCTCCAGGTGCCCTGGTTTCCTCCCACAGTCCAGAGACACACAGTACTAGAAGGCTGCAATGGAATAAGTAATAGGTTTATTCCATGCTGAATGAGAAGAGAGAAAACACAACGTTTCGGCTGTTGGCTTCTGGGAAAACTGGCCCTGGTATGAATGTGCCTGTGTCTGTTTGTATCCCTGATGGACTCGCCTCCCATCCAGAATGTACCCTGCCAGAGTACCCCCCATGACAAAGCCTTTAGAAAATGAATGGATGGAATTTCTGACCAAAACATGGTCACTAGAACAGACAGTGTCATTCAAGCAAGGCTGGTTTGAGGAGCAGGAGATAGATGTTTATTACATTCCCTGCCCAGTACAATCCCCACTTCCCAGACCTACTGAAAACTGTTGGAAGTAGTGGGATAAATGGAGCATGCAGCTTAGTTCCACACATCATTACTCCCATCACTACTGCCACTGAAGGTGAGTCTACTGACAGAAGGGGAGGAGCGTGAGCTGTAAATCTTTCAAGATGCTGAGTGAAACACGTCACAACCCATCCAAGCCTGTCAATCTTACATAAGCAGATGCATTCATAGCTGTTGAATCTTGCTCCTGAAGTGCTGTAGTCCTGTAGTTTTAACAGACAGTCTTAAAAGGTCAATGAGCAGAGATCTGAAAAGTGGGTTACCTTCTAATCAAGCAAGTGATTGATCCAATTAAGCAATCTGGAGATAATCTACTACAAAACAAAAACATAGGATTCTACGGGTCTCCAGAACCAGGGTCAGACACCACTGGATACACAGTATAGTACTGTAAGCATACTGCCTGTACATAGAAGAAAATACAGATTTTAAGTTGTATACAGTGCTTGAGTGAATTTAACAAGTAATTTGTTTCAGGATGTTCACATCTAAAGTACTTCAGCAGTGCAGAAACTCCAGTTATTCAGTTAAGTACTTTCAGGGGTGATGTCACAAGAGTTTACAAAGTACCAACTTTGAAGATCGACTCCAGTTCCTTTTGTTTGCTGGAGGCATTAGTTCTATATCACTGACTCATAGCACAGATGGGAATGGAATGTGTTCAATTGGAACTTTTGAAATGGTCCAGGTAGCGCTCGAGTAGGAGGCATATTTGTGTGTGTTGGTTGCAAGTTTTGCAGTAAACTAAAATCTTTCCAAGTTATTTTACACATGGGTGGCAATTGATATGTTCAGGCTTATGTTCAGGCTTCTGTTCTCTGTGCATGGGTTAATGTATTTGCAGGTGCTACAGCTTAGTCTGTTATTAATTATATGGATTGTCTAACCATCAACTCTACCATTTAATGTGGTAATGTGTTTGAATTTCAGTTCTTTCAAAATATCCCTAACTATAGTATGTGTAGTACATGTGAGGTGAAGAGTAATGCACAAAAGTAAAAGCAACAAAAATGTCTTCCTGTTGCAATTAATATTCTTCTTTTTATGCCTAGAGATGTATTGAGGTAATTAAAATGTATACAGTATACAGTACGTGAACATTACGTAACTACAGTAGGATTACAGATTTCAATTTTGAAGTTATTTCTGTTCAATATATGTACCTGAGGACACAATTGCTTTGCAGTGATCTATTTCCAAACTGAATGATTCCTTCAGAAGAGTTTGGGTTGAATGTTACACATTTTAAAGCCCAGAATGGGTCATTTGGTTTTTGAAATCCTTATCTCCACGATGTTT